CCAATACGGAGACGCTGATGCATGCTTTTATCACCAGTAGGATGGACTACTGCAATGCCCTGCTTTCTGGTCTTCCTAAAAAGAGGATTTCAGGTCTACAACTATTATAAAACTCAGCAGCACGTGCCCTGGCAAAGACCAGGAGGCGGGAGCACATTACTCCAGTTTTAGAATCACTGCATTGGCTCCCCGTATGTTTCAGGATCGATTTCAAAATACTTTTAACGTTTTTTAAGTGTCTTAATGGTCTTTGGCCTTCTTATCTTTCAGGACTGTTTTTACCGAATGAACCCACAGGGTCTCTGCGCTCCTCTGGCAGCCGTCTCCTTGTCATCCCTAAAGTCAGGACACATATTCACGACAAGGCGTCTTTCCAGTACTACGGTCCTCACCTCTGGAACGAGCTGCCAGGGGACCTCAGGGCTGCTGAGAACGTTCGTGTTTTTAGAAACAGACTCAAGACTCATCTTTTTAGCTTAGGTTTTAACTGAATACTCTCACTTTTAAAATTAATTAATTAATTAGTTTATTTATTTATTTGATCTATTTATTTTATGTATTATTTCTTTATACGTGCCTTTTAAACAGTTTTTACCTTGATTTATGATCAACATTATTTTAATATCTGTATAACTTTTTATATTACAATTGTCATTTTAGCTCTTTGGATTTTATATTTTAACCTTAATTTAACCTTTTTCCAGTGCTTCCTCTGTGGGTGCCCTCTGCCCCGGCGGCGGTGGTCGGCTGTGGCGGCCTGGGTGCTTTCCATGTGTGCCTGGGTGGTGGTGGGGGTCTCTGCCCTCCCTGCCCTGGGCGCCCGGTGTCAGTGCCTCGGCTGCTGCTGTGGATCTGCTGCTGTCGGGGTGGATGGCTCCCCTGAAGATGTTTCCTCATCCTTATCTTAGCTGGTCTGGCTCATCTGATCTCAGCCAATCGTGTTTTTTTTTTTACCATGGGGAAAGGGGCATGTGTGTGTGTGTGTGTGTGTGTGTGTGTGTGTGTGTGTGTGTGTGTGTGTGTGTGTGTGTGTGTGTGTGTGTGTGTGTGTGTGTGTGTGTGTGTGTGTCAGTGGAGGAGTGTTGTGAAGGGGTTTTTATTGTCAGACTGCTTTTAAAATTCTGGGGATGGGAGGGAATGTGGGTATGTGGGGCCTTTTTAATTTGTTAAGCACTTTGAGTTGCTTGTATTGTAGGATTAAGTGCTACACAAATAAAGTTGACTGATTGGTTGATTGATTGATTGATTGATTGATTGATTGATTGATTGATTGATTTTGAATCCAGGCTGGCACATATGAGATTTTGGCTCAGTTGTTAGTTGGTATTTTTTTACAGTAACACAATAATAAGGAGCCCACAGTTTAATTAATGAATGTCCAAATGAGACACGCCAAAATACGTCGGTTCAACTTCCATTTTAGAACAACTTTTCAACCACGAAGGGGACATCTCGAACTAATGTCGTTTCAATGGTCATGAAACGTCTGAATGTTTGCTGGGATCATTTATCTGCCAGACAGACTGCCAGGGGCAGTAACGCCAGTGCTCCATGCTGCAGCTGCTGTTTGTTAACCTAACCTTACTTCAGTTGTGTTGAAGCGATGGACGATATAATGTAGTGTAATGCATTTCACATGGGCAGGTGTAAGGCAGTTCTGAAGGCAAAGGTTCAACCCAGTACTAGCAAGGTATATCCAATAAAGTGGCCAGTGAGTGTAAATGTTAAACCAATTTAAAACAGAGGTCACAACCAGTGTTGGGCAAGTTACTTCAAAACTGTAATGCATTATTTATTACTTGTTACCCTCATTTTAAAGTAATTCATTACATTACAATATTACTGATTTTAAAATGTAAGGCATTACACTACTTTTGCATTACTTTAAGTTACTTTCACCAAAACAACTTCAATATGAATCTGGTAATCTGATGCTCAGTGAGCTCATGACATATATGTGGAAGGTGATGTGGTATCTGAGCTAGGATTGCTGTTAAAAACAGTCAGACATAATAACAGTTCTTTAAAATGAATGTTTATTAAATAAAAGCAACAACAATCTGTACTCTCACCATGCTGCCATCTTATATTAACTGAGCAGGGAGTGAGGTGGTGGGGGCTCCAAGCCTATATTTGCCTTGGTCCCCAAATGCCTTGATACGGCCCTGGATGTGGGACTGACTTCTGGGGTGATCTGATTCTATCACATGTATAAATATTAAATGCTTATATATTATTGCTTTTCACTGGTAAAAATGTGTATTGGGGAGAAATCTACCTACTTTTTTCTTTTTTTCTTGATTTTATGTGAATAATTTCCTGCCCTTTCTCTCTCTAACCTTCCTGCATGCTGCATGTTTTCTCCGTCTTCCAGAAAAAACTGTTTCCTAGACTTCCTACCTTCTAACGATCAGCCAAAGGGATCTTCACATGCGCGGCGCACCAGCAGCAATGAGTTGAAATCACCGCGGCACAGATTATGAACTCAGCTGAGGCAAAGCACGTCAGAAAAGTACAAAATACCAGAGAATATGCGCTGATATGAACGATCGCAAGTGAAATATTTTGTTTTAGTGGAGCGATTTTGTGAATGTTGCAGCGGCCGCGTGCAGGACACAGCTGAGCCGTTACAGCGGCGTCCTCTCTGCCTGCAAAGCTGAGTCAATAAATGACGTAATATATGCAGATACTGGATCTTTCTTCGGGTTTCCCGCAATTAGAATTTTTAAGAAATGCATCTTGATTCTGGGTTTAAAATGCATTGTAATTACCGCGTTACTGACAATTGTACCGAGTAAATATTACCATTTTCTTTCCCTGTAATGCCTTACATTACCACATTACAGCAAAAAGCAATGTATTACAGTAATTAATTACTTTTGTACCGCATTACTCCCAACACTGGTCACAACAGAGTGCTGCAGCACGTGGCACGCCTCTTTCCCCTGCACCATGTGTGGTTCAGGACTCTGGCCTGGGGAGAGGGTGACGCCAGGCTCCAAGTAGATCGCACAGCCGTGGGAACCCCGAGTTCGCTTTATGCCGTGCAATTCTCACATAGCTCCAGCCAGCACACAACTCCAAAACACAAAGCTGACAGATTTCTTCAAATTAGTTAAGAAAGTTGGACTGAGCTCGCTCCCACACAAGCCGGTGAAAGACAATAGAATGCAGCAGGTGGATTGGACGGTGAAAGAGGAGCTCAGAGCGGCAGACAGAGCAGGTGGATGACTTCGGAGCAACAAAAAATAATGGTCTATTTTTTACCCCAAATGAAAACATTTCCTGATGATGATCTCTGTGGTCCGGATTGTTGCTTAAGCTTGGTTTATGCTTGACGCATTCACTTTCTGCTTGGTGATGCGGCTCACGGATGGAACGCGCTTCACAACTTGCAGCGTTTATGGTTCATGCAGCTTGTCTCTGTGGTGAGCCAATATTCTCCCAAACTGAACGGGGCAGCATGGAGCTCTACGGCATGCATCCAACACTACACCATAGTAGAAGTAGAAATTACTGTTTACAACACGGCATTCCAGCATTTTTAACAGCGTCCTCGTCTTTTCCAACAGTGCGAGCTATTTCTCTCCAAGAATTATTAACAACATGTTGATCACGGTGATCTCTGAGAGCTGAATCATACAAATGTCTGTATTTACGAACCTCTGCCATACTAGTTCTTGCCGGTCCGCCATGTTTTTCAAAGTCCGACCGTCCGCGTGGTTAGAAATTTTCCTAGGTGCGCGTTGCGGAAATTTTGGGCCGTGCGGAGACACGGTGGAGGGGCGGGGTTGTTAAAATGACGCAATTTCGCCGCGCGGAGCCGTGCGGACCTCGCGGACGCGTCAAGCATAAACCAACCTTTAGAAGTCATCCACCTGCTCTGTCTGCCGCTCTGAGCTCCTCCTTTACGCCACCTGTCTGATTATCATCTCCTCGTTGTCTCGGACCGGCTTGTGTGCGAGCTCGGTCCAACTTTCTAAACTAATTTTAAGAAATCTGGCCTAGCCTGGATTCGAACCTGGGTCCCCTGCATGTAAGTCGGGTGCCTTACTAAAGTGTCCCTGTCCTCCACGCTAACGGCTCCGCCCACAGAGGCAACTTTTTTGTGAGCCACTATATAGAAACAAAGTACTAGAAAATGGCACGGGTTTTGTGATTTTGGCTAAAAACAGCATAGTTGAAAGACCACTAAGGGATTTTTAAAACAGCTAAAAACATTATTAGAGTGGGAATTTAAGTTTCTACTGGACCACTTGTGAAAGACATGCATTTTATAGCTTACTTAGAGAAGTTTTTTATAAAGTCAAAAATTGTGGGAGCAGTCCTATGGTTCTTCTGAACTCGAGGGTACAGTTGCTCTGCTTTGATCAGAAAGCGATGCAGTCACACAATAGTTTTGCAAGAATTAATTGTCACATTTGCAACATAAAATAAATTATTTTTTTTGCAGTCTGAAGCTTATTATTCTATTTAAATAAATGAACTACATCTTGGTAATGGGATGAGTGAGCCACATGGTCGTCATGACAAGTAATTGTTTACCAGTCATCAAAAGTATTGAGTGACATAAATAATAAATATTAATATTGTCTGATTATGTTTACCCTATAATTAATATTGTGTCATTCTCAAAGCTTTTGGCCACGACCATACACTGAAGTCCTTACACGTCCTACATTTAAAACAGTAGGCCTGCTGCTGAGATAATAATTACATCTTTAGGAATGGCAGCTGAAGAAGAGTTTACAGAAATCTCCAAACACAAAAACAAAAATGTAAACTTATTAGCACAGTCAGTACAAAATTTTTGTTTTTAAGAATAGTTTTCAACTTACACTTTTGTTGTATGTGATGATATGTGTTACTAATAACATACAATATCACCAATGGCTGCTTGAGAAGAACATCTGCTGGATCTCAAAATGTGTCCAAGGTTAAAAAAAAAGACACTACAACCCCTCATGTACATTTGACCCTGTCGTTCTTCTCTTTTCCAGAATGGACACATCTGTTGCTCAGTGGACCCCATGTGCCTTTAGTCCTGGTGGATCTGAAGGCACCTGTACAGTGTTCTCCATGTAAAGAAGTAACACCACCGTCCTGTCTCCTCACTGTCCACTTCACAGGCCTGGGTCGAATCGTGTTTGCACCATTAGGGTTGGTTTTTTTTTTTCTTCTGAACCAGATGATTATAGGTTGCAAATCAGGTCACACACCTTCCAACCCAGCCACTCCTAAACAATCAGGCAGTGTCTCATCTGATTCTCTTTGTTTTCTAGCTCTTATGGTTTGTTTTAAACAGAAAACTCCACCCATCTGGTACCTTGTGCACGTTTGCCATTAAAAGCAACTTGCAAACAGTCTGTGACCTGATCCTGCTTCCTTGAATCCTTTAAACCAAATGCAAACCCGAATCAAACCAAACACACGATGGACTTCGATTCCTCCAAACCCACTCTTTTTGTTCCATCTCACCACTTAGAGTGACCCAGTGAGGATCACAAATTCCCACTCCGAGTCATCGCTACATGAATCTGTAAGATATTACTATTACTGGCATGACTGTGCTTGATGTCCAGACATCTTTGCTGATTTCTATATTATAAACGAAGATAAGGAAACCTTAGATAGAGTGAAGACAGTTAGAATAAGGTTTAGTTGCCACTTTATAAGTCGTCTGTATTATGTGGTGCTTTGTAGCATTTTGTTAAACTTTTCCTTTTGTATGTTTTTTCCAAGCTTGTTATAGTGTTATGGTGAAATAAAGTATTTCCATTTACAATGAAGTTTTGTTTGTGTGAGTGGTGTTTGTTTTTATTCTGCGTTAACATTTAAGACTTTATTCATACAATCGGCCACACGCCCCTCCCCAAACACCCAGTCAGGACACACCACAGTTTATTATCCACAGACTAACAGCTTGTGCGAGCGCTTCCACAGACCTTTGAAGATGCACTCTATGCTGCATTCACAGACAACTGGGTCATCTGCTTACCCTGGGTCCTGCTTGGCCTCTGTTCTAGGGCTAGGGAAGAGTAGGTTTTTGGCCAACCGGTGCAAGTCCCACATGAATTTCTCCCAGAAACTCACACCCCTGCGCTACAGTTTTTCTGTTCCTACCCTGCAAACAGTCAACGTCGCATGGACATGCAGATCATGTCTATAGTGAGTCAGTCAGTCCAGACTGAAGAACTATATGACCCCCCCCCCCACACCCACACACACACACACACACACACACACACACACACACACACACCTCAGAGTCCTACAGTCTGGTTCCAAATACTTCGTCCTAGATCTGGGGGGGGAGGCTTAAGCCGGGCGGACACTGTGCGACTTTTTCACTTTTTTGATCGGATAAGATCGGGGAGAGTTTTGCGCTGACTGTGGTGTAGTATACAGGGGGTTGCACAGCTTTCAGGCCTGTTTGGTATTTTGCTTATCCCTCATGAGGGTAAAAGCAGCGCTGTGACCGGCTGCAACCCAAAACGTACCAGAACTGCTCACAGCGCATGCGCAAACGTGGTAACGGCTATTTCCCCGTGAACACATTTCTTTTGTTTTTATTTCTACGCACACAATGACAAAGATTGTCAAGAAAGCATGTTTGCAGTGTTTATGTCAAATTAAACTTACTAACTTTCTTCCGTCTTCATCATCCAACCCCCATTAATCCCTGTGTGTTCTCCTACACCACTCCCGAAGGACAACAGACATCAGTAACAACACAAAAAAAGTAGACGTGTTGTGTAAAAACTGCAATTTTTAGTATTTTTTCGGTCTGACGTGTTGCTACCAGGCGTACAGTGTGAGCACATGACTCGTGAGATTTGCTGTGCGAGGAAGTCGTCCAGTTTGAGCTGAAGCTGAGTGCTACGAGTGTCCGCCCAGCTTTAGGGAGATGGTCTCCACCACTGTTGGGCATCTTACATTCAATGGCGCCCCCAAGGGGTGGCCATGGCCACCCGTAGAAAATTGCTGTCCCCCAGGAAAAGCCAGTGTTAATAAATCATATTAATGTTCAGTCAAACCATAAATTGATCTGTTTTATTCAAGACATAATTGTAAAACAAAATCAAAATACAACCAATGAGTAAAGAAATAATCAGAATAAAAAAATACATATGTTTTTGCTGCTCACCATTTTAAAAAAGTTTTTATTGTCATAGTTTATTGTGAACACAGCACAGCAACAGGTGAATGAAACTTAAAAATACATTTGGTGTGCCACCCCAAGCATTTCTTTGGCCCCATCTGGCCACCCCTATCAATTTTTTCTGGAGGCGCCCCTGCTGACATTAAAAAAGTAATTAATTACAGTTACAAATTACTTTTTCCAAAAGTAATTGAGTTAGTAGCTAGACAAAATGGGTACAGTGTTTGTCACTTACTCTGGCTAATCCAAGACAGAGCCAGTGTTCTGACTAGCCGTGCTTCTTCGTCAAATATTCATACCGCAGTGTGTTACGACAGTTTTGCTCTTGTTCACATTATAGTAACACGCTTAATAAGCATGGTTGATTTTAAACAGATGATATTACTCAAAAATACAGAACTTTAGTTCAATTATTAGCAAACATATACAGTGTTCTATAACGCAGTTACGTTCTATAATATCAATAACCATAGGCGTCATTTTAACCGGGGACGCCGGGGACATGTCCCCGGCAAAATTTGTGATCGGTAGCTGTGTCCCCCCCACTTTCAAAAACGCCTGCTGATGAGGATTTTTGTTTTACCAGCTCAGATCTTATACCAGGGGTCGGCAACCTATTCCCATCAAAGAGCCATTATTACCCGTTTCCCACGGTAATTTTGGACGGACCTTAATAAGCAGTGACTTAAGTGATGCAGGCAGGTCGTGCTAGAAAATTTAGTTTAAAAAGACGTCATAAATGTGTTCCCCCGTCCTTTTTATTTATAAAATATGAAGTAAAAACTCACAATTTAATTTTCATTCATTTGTCATTAATATGTAGTCTACACCCGTGCGTTAAGTGGACCATCTTCCAGTAAACGCAAAGCATCCAGCCCACCTCTCCAAATGCGTAAAATGTGCATCAGCCGCTAGTTAGGTGCGCCGCGCGCACCGTCAGCTGATCAGCCCAGACAAGAGCAGAGCAACTAGAGAAAGAACAGAGGATAATTGTGTCTGGATGTGGATGGAGATTACATTTTACAGCAGCCTGATCATCATTTAAATACGTAAACCATCACCTGTCTTCTAGTCCACGCTATCAGCGTTATTTTAATTGGTGTGTGTGTGTGTGTGTGTTTTCCACTTCAAACACTGGTCTAACCAACCAGACCAGCGTGTCCAGTAACGTATTAATGTTACAATTAAACAGTTTCACTTCATGTAGGCTAGGAACGTTTCACCTGCCGTGGCCCGACCGCTTCTGCTCCACATAAACTTTGTGCGTGATCAAATGTCTCTACGCGTCATGCGTCTCCATATTAGAGACGGGAACAAGCGCTGTTCAGCCAAAGTTTCATAATTTCATAAAAAGAACATTTTTCCAAGTGACACATCCCTCAGAGAGACCGGGTTTCCAGACTGTTTCAGTGGGAGGAAATCATTGCATGCACCGTGGTTCTGCGCTGCGAACCCCTCAGATCTTCAGCTCACTGTCCACCGTGGGCGCTCCGAGCCGCGCTGAACACAGTGTCCAGTATAAAGCTCTGGTGTTCTGATGGGAATATTTTACCTCCGCGATGTGCGTCAACGATTAAAATGTCAGCTCATCCATGCGCATCAGTGTGCGTCGGGATGATTCTTTCAAACCAAGCAACATCCTTGAGTTCATCTGTCAAAATAAACAGTCAAATGGAAATATCTGTAACCTGCCGTTTAACTGTTTTGCCTTCTTGTGAAGATTGTTGCAAAGAGAAACAATTAAACTTGATTAACCCCAGAGCCACCCAGAGCGCATGTGGGAAGGTTCCTCCCACTGAAGCGAGTGTTTTCCAAACCCTGTCTCTCAAAGAGACTTGTCACTTAGAAAATGTTCCCTGATGATGAAACTTTGGCTGAATAGCGCTTGTTCCTGTCTCCAATGTGGCGACACATCCAGGAGCTGTCTGAGGAGAATCCCACAACAATCTCACATCCTCTTCAGCTCATAAAGCGCCTATGATTACGCACAAGCGTGACGCGTCAACCCGGTCTCACAGTAAGACCGGGTTGGACCCGTTCAGGTTTACGCAGACAATCTTTACATTTAGAATTGGCATACAGATGTAAAATTAATGCAGTAAAATATAAAGCATTTTATTTAAATATCCATTCATTATTTTACAAACACAGAGAGCCGGATGGAAGAGCCGCATGCGGCTCCAGAGCCGCCGACCCCTGTGCTAGCCTACTTTATTGTCCCCAGCAATTTTTAAACCCCACTCAAGTGTATGGTTATTGTCCCCAGCAATTCTGAAAACAAACCGACGCCCTTGTCAATAACGGGAAACAGTTATTATCTAGAATGAACATTTCAGATATCTGAAATGTTCATTCTAGATAATAAGACATTCCGTAACAATGTTCTCATGCATATCTGGAATGATAATTTCTACTAGGAACAATAGAATTAGAGATATCTGGAATACATATCCAGTGTGTCTAATTCATGTTAAACAGGCCACCGTAGGTATTTTAAGGATTCTGAGGTATCTCAAACTTAATTCCTACTAGTGCAGTTATTATAGATATTCTTAATTAAAGTGGTAACAACATAATGTAGCTGTTGATGTCTTCATTGAAATTTTGACTAATAAGAATACAATTAGAACTAGATTAAATAGGTCCAATTGTTGATTCAATGTCATGGCAAATCATAGTAGCGCGCTGCAGCGTGTCCTGTTTTCACTCATTTCTTCACTTTTCTGAAGCTCTGTTTGTTTTTCTTTCCTCGTCTTTTACATATTTGTCCCCACCAATATTTACAGATACACAACATTAATGTTATAATAATTGTCCCTGGCATTTTGCACGTGCCCCCTCCCTCTCTGCTCTCATAGCAACTGGAGGCCTGCTATGTGTGTATGGGCGTGAGTGTGTGCGCGCCACATGTGTGTGTATGTTAACTTTTGCCGTTTCTTACCGGCTTGGGATAGGCTGGGGGGAGTCTGTGTCGTTCATCCAAGCCGGAGCTGGCTCTGACTCAGTTTCCTACACGACCGACACCAATGTGTGGCTGTCAGAATGCCAGCCAGCGCTGCTGTGCTTCCTTCAGCCACATTATAGTAACGGGCCACTTTACATGCCCAGTAACAGTAACGATGTTGCAGCAATGGGAAAAGTAATTAATTAGATTAATCTGTTACCAAAAAATAAAGCTGTTAGTGACGCCTTTATACTTAAGCATCGTTACTCTCAACACTGGTCTCCACTGAGGGTCACACCACATTTTTGGAGGTGAAACCAGCTGGTTTACTAAACCATCTATCCCTGTAACATTCTGATGCAGATTCAAACATTTTACTTGAACATAAATTATTTCTTATTGGCCTGTAAGAAAATCACTTCAGGAGTGCTGTTCTTTGTTTTTCCACAGCTATAATTACTTTTTAGATTTCTGGTCAGAGCTTATTTTGAAAGAGATTATTCCATCTGTTAAATCATAATAATGAAAACAACAAGTGACGTTTCTATATTTCACAATTATTTTTATCCCAAGTTCTTGATTTTTGCAGCACTAAGGTTTTAGACACCTCTTGACCAAGAATAGATTAGAAACCATCATTCATTCTTTTGTAATCAAAACACTGGCCTCCCTCACAGTTTAAC